AGCCCCTAGGTCACACAAAGCATTATCAATTTGCATCTTGTATATTGCACATGGGATAGAAAAGTTACCGGGATCTTTTAACTTTGGTGGCATCTTATTCATGATAATAGCACTACAATTCTCGGTGAGATTCACCGTTTCCACCACATCACACTTTCTCCTTCCACTCAAAATATCTTTTAAAAACCTAGCATAGTTAGGCATTTTCTTGATAGCATCGGTAAAAGGGATTGAAAGGTGAAGTTGCTTCAGTGTTTCAAGGAATTTTCCGAATTGCACATCTAATTTGTGTCTCACAAATTTATGGGGATATGGAAGTCTTTGCAATTGTTTGGTTTCTTTTTCACTCTCTTTTTCTCTTCTCTCTTTCTCAAATTCTTTTTCTTTCTCACATTCTTTCTCCTTTTCATTCTCATGGTTTTGCTCTCTCTCTTGTTCAAAATCACTTTTAAAGGGAGGCTCACTCATGTTCACTTTCTCATTGTTTTCCTTAGGGACACTCTCTTCCAACACTTTCCCACTCCTAGTTGATATAGCATTCACCGGTTTCTTGGGGTCAAGTCCTTGGGGTGGAAGTTTAGAAGTGCTAGCTCCCTCTTTTAAAGCATTGGCCAATTGAGAAATTTGTGTTTCAAGCATTTTGTTATGGGTCATTACTTCACTAAATTTCTTTTCACTTGAGGCCATGAAAGAATTGAACATTTTAGTTTGATTTTCCATCATTTCCTCCAAGCTAGACCTACTATGTGGTGCTTGTGCATAGTGGTTGTCTTGGGAAGCCCTATTACCTCTAGCATTCGAATTGGACGTATTTTGATTAGAAGAACCTCTATTATTATTGTTGTTCCAATTGTTTCGATTATTAGAGTTTCCCCCTTGGTGAAATTGCCCTTGATTCCCATAGTTTCCTTGATTATTATGATTATGGTTACCATAACTACCTTGTTGGTTGTAGTTACCTTGGGGATTTTGGTCCCTTTGGTTCCTACTTCCCCATTGATTTTGATTATGGTAATCGTAATCATTTCCTCTTTGGTTATAGGAATTCCCCCCTTGTTCTCTTCTATTTGGTGGTAAGTATCTTTGATTGTCATTCCTATGTCTATTATCATAAGACAAGGCATTGACTTGTTCATTTTCATTTTCATTACCATCTTCGTATTGGGGTTGGGGTTGGGGTTGGAAATCATAATTACAAGAAGAGGTATCATGGTCATAAGACCCACAATTTTCACAAAACAAACATCCATGAGGCATGTTATTAGAAGTAGAGGGAGAAGAGTTAGAATTCATACCTCTCCCCTTAGATTGGGAGGGATGCTCTTGTGTTGAACTAGAGGTCTCTATTTTTGCCTTAATGGACGTCATCTCCTTTCCAAGGTTGGCGATTTGGGAGGTCAAATTGTTGATGGCATTAAGGTGATCAACGGAGTAAACCGCATTTCCTCCCTTGTTTAGAGAATCTCTCTCTCCTTCTTGCCAATCCATGTGGTGCCTCACCACATCCTCAATTATCTCTATGACTTGCTCCTCCGTCTTGTTCATAATCGGGCCACCCGCTCCTGCATCCAAGCTAGTCTTTCCTTGTGGGCTCAAGCCCCCATAGAAAATTTGAAGCACTTGATATGACGGAATGCCATGATGAGGGAACTCCCTTTGATATTCCTTGTATCGTTCCCATGCTTCATAAATGGTTTCACTAGCTTTTTGACGGAAACCTTGGATCAAAGCTCTTGCCTCGGCCGTCTTCTTTTGGGAATAGAATCTTCCTAAGAAAGCCGTGGTGACCTCGTCCCAAGTTCTCAAGGAGTTAGGCCTCACCTCCTTCTCAAGCCATTCAAGAGCTCTTCCTATCAAAGAAAAAGGAAACAACTTTAGTCTCACAAACTCTTGAGTTACCCCATTTACCTTGATCGTGTTACAATATTTTTCGAACTCGTTCAAGTGTGCAAGAGGGCTCTCATGTTTTGCTCCACTATATTGCCTCCTTTCAATCAAATTAATCATTGCGGGCCAAATCTCGAAGTCATTGGCTTGAGTAACGGGTGGAGCAATGCCGCTTGAAGCACTATAAGCTCCCGGAGTTCCCAACTCCTTTAAAGGTCTTTGAGGTGGTGGTTCCGCGTCACCCATTTAATCTCGATCCTCCTCGAAATTGGTCTCTCTAGCTGGGGGAGTAGTAAACGGCCTAGAACCGGCTCTTTTTCTCCTTCTATAAGTTTGCTCAATCTCGGGATCGTAAGGTACCAAGATCCTGTTATGAGTTCTGCGCATACACTCTCAACAAACGCAATTAGTACCAAGGCTACAAGTGTAGCCAAAAAGAGACAATCTTTTTGAAATTTTTTTTATGGTGAACTAGACTCAAGTAATCAATTAGCTATCAACAACACCGTTCCCCGGCAACGGCGCCATTTTGGTGGGCGTTAGAACGGTCGTACATTCCACACTCAATCAAACACATTTATTAACAAACACCTTACAAACCAAGCATAATGACAAGTAAGAGTTCGGTCCACAAGGAACAGGATATGATTGCCAAAGATCTTTACACTTAAGCTAACTCGAAGTCAATTGGTGAATTGGGGTTCGTCAAGAAGACAAACAAACTATGGTTCTAAATCAATGAATTAAAGATACTAGGGAATGAGATCCACTCAACCAAGGCAAATAGGCAAACGGGGAGTAAAATAGACAAGATATAGCAAGGACTATATGTAAAATCAACCTCATGCAATTAGAAAACAACTCACACTACTAAACTTAGATTCCTCATTAGTTTAGCAATAGATGATACATAATCAAATTACAATAAGTAATGACGTACTCAATTTACACTTCCATGTCAAATTAGGCATATCATACTATCAAGCTCCTTAGTCAAGGGTAGCTAAACCTATCATGAGGAACTAACAAGCAATCTCATATAATCAATTTAATTGCAATACAAACATCAATGCTTCTCCCACATTTGCATAGTTAACCCAAAAGGTCGAGCTTCACCCAACCCCTAGCAAGAAGACTACTCACAACTCATGTTTATCAACATGCAATCAAGAATTAGGGTTCTAAATACTTCAATAATTGGGGAAAAGTGGTTAACAATTGAAATAACTATCATCCAATAACAAATTACCAAGAACTAAGAAGATTTAAATAACATGCAAATACCAAATAAAATCTGAAATTAAAAGGAAGAAGGTTGGAGAAATTACTAATTGAAGCTTCAAATGTTGAATACAAATTGCCAAACTTTGAGAATAATTCTTGAATTTCACTAGTACAATGATTTGATTTGATGAAAACTAAGCTAAATTAACCCTAAGGAATGTTTCAAACTAAGAGAGGTTTCTGAAAACTAGGCTACTGTCCTTCCTCTCTTCTCTTTTTTAAACGATCTCAAAAGGACCTTAAATAGTCCGTACAAAATTGGCTGAGATCGAGAAAAGGTCCGACCGAACTCTGGGTAGGTTCGGTCGAACCCTGTGTAGGTTCGGTTGAACCTCCCTGATCCTTGTTTGGTCGAACTTTTGAGGTTCGACCTCTCCTGCAAAATTGCTGAAAACTGGTTTGACAATGCCTTCACTGCACCCTGGAGGTTCGGTCAAACTTTTCAAAAGTTTGACCACACCAAGGTTCGACCGGACCTTTCAGAGGTTCGGCCACACCTCCTCTTGCACCTCCTTTTCTTGCTTCATCTCCTTCCCTTTTGCTCCTCTTGCCTTTGTCCATGGCTTCCATACTTGGCCAAGGGGCCTCCCACCATGCATAGGACCGTCACGGAACCTGCAGAAGATACCAAAGTTCACGAGAGCATGGGGATGATAAAATAATGCATAAAGATTATCAAAATAAGCGCAAATAAGCATTACTTTTCATCAACACAAAAAGAAGCCATAAGAGGATAATGAGGTGGAAAAACCTAAGAAAAATAAGAGGAAAAAGACCTAAATACTACCCCTAAGAGTGACATAAACGTCACTCATCAAATATTGATTTTTTTTGAAAAAATTTGAAGAATATTAGTTAATTATTAATAATTTATATTTCTTTTAAATTTTTTTAAAAAAAAATATTGAACGTTTTCAAATATTTTCCCTTTTCAAATATTTAATTTTAAAGTGTTTGTATATAATAATTGTACAATTTATAGTTTTTTTAAATTTAAATCCTAATATCAAAAGATCATCCTTTAAAAAAGATAATTTTTAGTTTTAAACTAATTTAAATATAAATCATATTCGTCATTTTTACCTACGTGGCAAAAATTTTAAATTTCATTGTCACTTTTGCATATGTGGCGAGTGAATTTTTTAATTCTAAAATAAAATACAAATCTAACTTTTAATTGGTTGAAATAATACCGTGCGATGCACGAATTGTCATACATATATCTCAAGAAAAGATATTTTCCTATATACTCTAATTTTTTTTTTAATTTTTTTTTTATAATTATTTGATTTATTTTACAATTTAATAATTTCAGACAAAAAAAAACAAATAATAATTTAATTAAAATGATATTGCCAATTACAAAAGTATATTTTTTTTAATGTAATTTATAATGCCACTTAATTTATTGTTGTTTTGTATTTTATTTGTTGTTATTGGTTATATGACAATAATATGATATCTTAAAAAAAATGTAAATATGATATTTCATTGATTACATATTAGCATAAAATCTTTAATGTGATAAGATGATAATTTTTTTATTTTTAAAATAATTTAAATCCTAAACCATTATTCGTAGAACAAAATCAAAAATAAAAATAAAATTATAATAATCAATTTTGAAAAAAAATTGTAGAACAAAGTTGACTTTAATTGAGGGAACGTAATCACCCTGTAGTTAAAAATAAAAAATTAAGTTAATTTTATGACTTAATTAAGCTACCTAAATCACAAAAAATTTGTTTTAATCATAAAATTAATTGATAAAAACTAAAAGATACATTAAAAGATTTAATAAATGTAAACGATTTATAAAGATATAATACCTCCTCATCCAACAGGATCATAAGGCGAGAAACTCGTACTTTGATATTCCAAAGATATTTGCTCGTATATAATTCTCTGATTAAATTAGATCTTCATGTAAAAATAAAATTCAGCAAACAAAACATAAGCATATAATCATTAAGTATCCCAAATAAACAAAATTTAAGCAATAATCACAAATATACATTTAAATATGGGTTTTAAAAATTAGGCTAAGAATTACCCAGTATTATTATTACTATTTTAGCTGAAAAGAAAATATGGTGGAAATTTTCGGCACTAATTAACCCCTATAATGCTAACAAAGTAACCTCCATTATGTGGCCAACCACATATAAGAATTTGTGATTGTTGGATACTCCGTATTTGGATAAACAATAATTATGCTCATTAAAGTATAACTTTTGTAAATTTTAGCTTCATTTTGATCTAAACTAAGATTATTATAATGATAAGAAAAAAAAAACTAAATCTTTGATAAAAGTTTTATGGTTGATTTTAAAAAAAATTGTTTAAGAAATTTTATATACATTAAATATGTTAATTTAACAAAATATATCGAGTTATTTTATAGTTAATGCTTCTAAGAACTATTTGATCTGATTAAAATATTTGGTAAAAAGATATTATATATATGATTTTAATAAAAGACATTTTATGTGCTAAATACATAAGGCAGAAAATAAAAATTTCCATGCTTAATGTTAATTTATACCATATTGAGTAAATATGTTTACAAAAAATTAAATCAGTTTGATTGGTATATTTTTAGAAATTTATTTTTAGCTAATACTATTAATATTAGTACGTACTAAGAATCTTTTATTATTATTATTATAATCTATAAAGTGATAAGGGAAAATAGAAAGAAAAATAATTAAGGATTTATCTTTTTTTTTTTTTTTTGTAAAAAATAGTTTTGGTGGGGAAAAGTAACACCATGATTTGACACGTGTCATTACTGTTGTTTGTTTTAGTAATATATATATATATATATATATATATATATATATATATATATATATATATATATATATATATATATATATTACTAAAACAAACAAATATGTTTTAGTAATATATATATATATATATATGTATATATATATATATTGATATTGATGTGATATATAATATCTCTTGATATAATTAAATTATATCTTCAAATCTTATATATATACGGGGAGGTTCCGCTGAAAACAGGGCTTATGATGAAAATTAAAAACAGAAAATCTCAACCATCCATTATTACTAACAAGATCTAACGGTTTTAAAAAAAAAACGTAGAGTCACTATATATAAAAATAACGTAACTGTATACAGACATAGGGTAACTATATCAATTTACAACATTTGTCACTATATACAAAAATATGGTAACTATATCAATTTTGATCCTATTCATAGAAGTCACTATATACAAAAGTAGGGTAACTATATCAATTTTGACCACATTTACATATAGGTCGCTATATGTAAAGATAAGATAACTATATTAATTATAGCTTGCAATGTTGTCGAAAATCCAGCAAGATTGATATATACAAAAATAAGGTGACTGAAATAAAATTTACAACATTTCCATGATACTAAGGTCATTATATACGAAAATAAGGTAACTATATATAAACTTCGGGTAATTATATCAATTTGACACCATTTACCCGGACGTCACTATATATAAAAATAAGGTAACAATATCAATTTAACATTTACACATAGGTCAGGTTAATATATTAATTTTGACTACATTTTAAAAAGATCACTACATGTAAGTCTATGTAGGATTCGAACCCACATCATGTGCACAATGCAAGTACACAATGCTCGACCAATTGAGCTAATAGACTTTCAGCACACAAAAACAATAAAGCTAATAACTCGTATTATTGCACTACTATCAAAAAAACAAGAAATACTCATAATTTCTCTAGCAACTACACCCACAAATGATCCATCTCTCTTCTTTCCTTTTAAGATGTTGACCAAGTTAAGGCAATCACTCTCAACAATGACATTCTTTGCTTCACATTACACAGCCATTTTCAAGCCAAAAGCCACTGCCTTTTGCTTCGACAACATCCTCTTTCCATTTGCTACTAACCTGCAGACACACTGACCGCACTACCTCCCCATTATGATCTCTTAGAACAACACCCATTCCTACCCCTGCATCACCATATACGGCACCATCAATATTTATTTTCACTGTACCATACATTGGACGTCGCCACCGGATATCTTTCCTTCTACCACGCTGCTCACTTCTATGCCTTATCCCACATTCTGTTGCCTCACCGTACCGAAGACCTTCAAGACTGCAGCGGCAGCAGCAGCCACTGTAGGGCACTTACGACATGCCCTGTTAGCTACAACATTCCTCTCATTCCATACTTCCCAAGCTACAATCAATCTTTCGTTCCTCTCCTTATCCCCAAAAATTACTAAAAATCCAGTCTACTCAATCCATACCATTACTCAACTCAGGACAATCACTCATAAAACCCAATTGATCCCACACTTCTTGTTCAAAATCACAGCCACATATGGCGTGTAACTCCATCTCCTCTAACTCTCTAAGCCTCTATATTTTGATATAACCATTCTTAGTTGTTTTAAAATTTAAAAACATCAAACTAAATACATTGATAATGATGATTAAATTCCACTAATTTTTAGAAATTGGAATCACACACAAGCACATTCAAATTCAACTAAAGAATAACCGATATGCATCAAGATTACAAATACGCTAAACCCCCAAATTTAATTAGATAAAATTAGCACAAATTAAAACTATTATAATTGACAAAGAAGCAATTTAATTAGATAAAATTCAGCAAACAACTCACAATCCTCGGCTGCTTCCAATTCCGACCGGAAACTCTGCCGGCGATAACTCCGTCGTAAATCGGCTGACCAAAAACTGGCTTGTTTAGATCGTCGGTGGATGAAAATGGAGTACAAAAATATTGGAAATTCGGAAAACATCGAACAAAATTGCAGTTGAAAATTCGAACCATAAATTGGAAAAAAAATCACTATAAAAATCGCAGAAATCAAGCCCTAAAACAGCAGAAAATAAAAAGTTGATGCAATTTCGAACATAAAACAAATATCAAACATAATTGATGCAATTTCGTAACAAATTCCTTAAAAAATCGAAAAAATAAATTAACAAAACCGCTGAAATTAAAATGATACAAGTAGCGAAATCAAAATCGATTTACTTACTTGATACTAGATCATAGACGATAATGATAACGAATTTGATGAAGAATCGAAGCTATTACATTATAGTGATTTTGAAGTAGCATGAAATTAGAAGAAGAATCGAGAAATTAGGAGAGAGAAAACAGAGGAGAGAGAAAATAACGCATGATAATGGAGGAGAGAGGAGAGAGGAAGTAAACGCTTTTGTTTGTAATTGACAGAAAATAAACCCCACCGTAAGATTTGATGAATACGTGGTAGATTAAAATCTAGAGATTTGTTAAACATCACCGGCAAATCTCCACATAAAGCCCACAAATTAGACATGGTTTGACAATTTTGTCCATTTCTAAAATCGTACCCAAAGTGAACAAATCTCGATCTAACAAATGTGGAGTCGTACTGGGTTGCCCAGGGAGACTGGAGGGGAAGCCGGAGAGGCGAGGGATGCCGGAGATACGTCGTCTTCGACGGAAAACGAGGTGACGCCTAGTTTGGACGCCGGAACCATGGCAAGGACGTCCAGGCAAGGCGCCACAACCAGTGCACTGGCGTCCAGGCCAGACGCCACAACCAGTGCACTGGCGTCCAGCCCAGGCGCCTCAACCAGTGCACAGGCATCCAGGCCAGGCGCCACCACAAGTGGACTGGCTGATTAGGGGATTTTTATCCACCAATCACCATCTGACACGTGGACCAACCAGGTTCCACCACGTGTCCTACATGTAGGCCAATAGGAGCCTGCCACGTGTCAAGCAGAGATGCGTCCTCCATGGACCAATTGTGACGCGACACGTGTCCACCCATGCTAAATGGGAAAGCCGGCCAACAAGGCCCAATCCTCGTGGGAGGCCCAGTCAGTTCTAGGTATAACCTAAACCTAGGAATTGGCACGCATCCCAAAGCATATAAATATGCTCATTAATCCTCATTAAAGGGGATTACGCACATTAAACACTCTCACCTAGAGAGACTCAATTATATTCCGCATTAATTACTCCTTAAACAAGTACTAACTTGACCGTTGGAGGCGGATCTCCAATCATCCGGAGTATCCGTTTATTTTGCAGGTACAGGCGTCCGGTTCCAGTCTCGGAATTGTAAATCTCCCGCAGGACATCAGAAAACCCCGAAACATTTTGGCGCCGTCTGTGGGGAGAGTAATTTTGAGATGGCATCCACGTCTGTACCGACTCCAGAAGAGAGGCGTCCCCTGGACGACCCTCACGTTCAGTCGGACCATGATACCGATGAAGAGATTGAAGTTGAAGCACATACAACTTCAGACGGGACCCTAAGGGCCCGGCGTACCCGTCATACCGAAAGGAGAGAACGGGAAGATCCTCAAACTGGACTCAGTGATCCAGTCGGCGCACCGTTTGCTCAGCAGCAGTCAGCTGAGGGATCTGCTCCCATTACAAGAAACGAACTCATGACCTTCATGAGGGGCTTCAAGGGAGAGATCCAGGAACTGATCAACAAAAGGACGCCTGCTCAGACCAAGGAACAGTTGGCTAAGAAACCTTCCTCTTCAGGGAAGAGGAAGCCTGTTCAAGGACGAGAGGCGACCCCTCATCCTAACTCTAGGAAGTGCGAGCCGCCTGTGCTTGATTTCACAAAGTATCGCTTTCCTACTCCAGGAAAGAGGAAGCTCGTTCGTCATATACAGGCGGATGGGTCGAAGAAAACATACACAGACGCTCGGCTATTGCTAGAGCAGAAGAAGAACGACCGACTGTCAGAGTCGGCCTCTACTTCAGATTTTCAAGATAGTCTGTGCAATACCTCTATGAGGTATACTCAGTCAAATCATGAGAGTCAGACAGGTGGTACCTCCCGTCGGTCATAGTGACCAGGCGGTACCCAACTTACCCTTTGTACCGCAACAACAATATTTTCTGCAGCCACCTCCGTTTGGAGGACAGGCGGCAAAAAATGTCCAGCCTTTGGACTGGCAGCTACGGTTGCTTAGATTTGGGGAGCAGCCGTCGGCTTTCTCCAAGGAAATTACTGAAGCTGCTTAGCCGGCCAAAGTGAAAAATGTCTTAGTAGGCTCCTATGACGGCACTACTAACCCAGAAGACCATTTGATGGCATTCACCAACCTGATGTACCTCCAAGGGTTGGATGATCCCACTTGGTACAAGTGTTTCCCAGCGACTCTTAAAGGAATCGCACAACAATGGTTCGGCAACCTGCCGACTGGTTGTGTGAATAACTTCAGAACGCTTGCTTACTTATTCACCTCCAATTTTGCTATGAACATACCTGCGAAGAAGACGACCCTTGATTTAGGGACAATTCAGCAGGGCGAGAAGGAGGGGCTTCGTTCTTACATCAGGCGGTTTAACCTGATGAGGATACAGATTCAAGGGCTACCGGATGAGATGGCCTATACTGACTTTTTCAGAGGCCTCAAAGACGGGTCGACCTTCAAATTTGATTTGGTTCGAAAGAGGGTGGCGACTCTTCAAGAAGCCTTGATTGAAGTAGAAGCCTATATACAGGCGACTGATCTTTGTAGTACTGGAAATCAGTCGGACGGAAAGAGGTTCGACAAGAAAGAAGGGCGACAGAAGCAGTCGTCCAACAAAGAGGACAAGAAGAAAAAAGAGATCTGGGCGGCCGATTCCTCTAAACAGCCGGCCCAGAAGAAGAAGAAATAATTCAAACCATACTCCCCAAAGTATGTGTTTAACAAGGATAGCCAAGCTATCCTAAAAGAAATCAAGGGACGGATCTCAATTGAGAAGCCGGCCCCCATGAAGGGTTCTGTGAGCAATCGGAACCAAGAAAAATTTTGTGATTATCATGAAGACGTTGGTCATGAAACCAACGAATGCATCAGTCTCATGCGGTATCTGGACCGCCTAGCTGAACAAGGCGATCTTGAATCTTATATCAAGAAATCTAAGGGGAACACTTCCTCGAAAAAGCAGTCGGCCAAGAAGAATCAACAGGCCGACAGTTCTGATACAGATGATGCAGTCGTCTACACCATTGCAGGCGGCTTCTCAGCACTATCAGGGGCAACAAGGACAATATCAGGCGGTTAGACGTCAATTCCGTTCACCAAGGGCGGCCCTCCAAATACTCATTTCCTGAAATTGTCATCACTGAAGAATATTTAGGAGGGGTAAGGGGCCGCATGACGACCCCATTGTTATTGAATGTAAAGTGGCCAACCAGAGAGTTGGCCGAATCCTCATAGATACCTGCAGTTCCTCATATCTTATCAGTAGCAAATGTTTGTCAAAGCTCAAATACCAGACTGATTGCATACACCCGGTATCCCACCCTCTAGTAGGGTTTGGAGGAGGAGTCGTCCACCCAGTAGGACGAGTGGATTTACCCGTCCGCTTGGGAAAAAAAGGGGAAGGTCGCCACATGGTTGTCCGATTCCTAGTAGTTGAAGAACTCTCGGCCTACAACATGATTCTGGGACAACCAACCCTGAATAATTCCAAGGCCGTTATAATCCCGTCTCTTATGTTGCTCAAATTTGAGAGGGATGATGGAACATTCGGCTCCCTAAGGGGAGATCAGAAGATGGCCCGAGAGTGCTACCTCTCGGATATCAAACCCACTGTCATGGCCGCGGGGTCAAGTGGTGGAAAAACATACCTTGACGTAGTCAAGGAGAATGCGCCTGCTCAAGAAGCAGGCGGCAAGAAAAGAAAGGCTGCCGAGATGGGGGCCGCAAGAAAAGAGAAGAAATAGCAATCATTGGCAGAGGAGCGGTCAGATGAATTCCGCCCTCAGCCGGCTGGTGAGCATACGGACTTGATCCTAGACGACTCGCGCCCTGACCAAATAGTCAAGGTTGGGACGACTGCTCTGAAAGTTCTGGGTGAAGATTTCCATCAACTTTTGAAAGAATACAAAGACATATTTGCATTCGAAGTCCATGAAATGCCAGGCATCAGTCCTGACCTGGCGGTACATAAACTGGCCGTGGATCCGAAAAAGAAGCCGGTAAGGCAGAAGAAGTGGAACCATGGCGAAGAAAGAAGTCAGGCGGCAGCCGCCGAAGTAAAGAAACTACTTGATGCAGGGTTCATTCGGCAATGCTACTTCCCAGACTGGGTTGCAAATGTAGTGCTTGTTAAAAAGCCGAATGGTACCTGGCGAATGTGTGTGGACTACACAGACTTAAACAAGGCGTGCCCCAAGGACAGTTACCCTCTGCCTAAAATTGATAATCTGGTCGACTCAACAGCCGGCCATGCTTTGATGAGCTTTATGGACGCCTACTCTGGTTTCCATCAAATTCCTTTATGGAAGAAAGATCAGGAGAAGACGGCCTTCGTCACTGATCAAGGGTTATACTGTTACACGGTCATGCCGTTTGGTCTGAAGAATGCCCCGGCCACCTTCCAGCGAATGATAAATACTGTGTTCTTTGATCAGATTGGGAGGAACGTCGAGGCATACATTGATGATATGATTGTTAAGTCTAAGCTTCAGATAGATCATCTGTCGCACCTCCGAGAAACTTTCGCCACACTCAGGCGGCACCATGTCATGCTCAATCACAAGAAATGTGTATTTGGGGTTGAGTCTGGGAAATTTCTCGGATTCCTTATCAATCAGAGAGGAGTAGAGGCGAACCCTGAGAAAGTGCAGGCGGTCATCGACATGCAGTCGCCTCGCACCGTCCGAGAGGTTCAGATTTCTAAGTCGATCAGGTGACAAATGCTTATACATCTTCCAGGCCATTAAGAAGGCAAGGTTTGAATGGGGGCCGGATGCTGAGGCGGCCTTCCAAAAATTAAAGGTTCATTTGCATTCCTTGCCGAGGCTGGTCAGCCCTTTGCCCAAAGAACTACTTTACATGTATCTGGCCGTCTCGGATCATGCTTTAAGCGTTGTCCTTCTTGCTGAAAGAGACGGCTGCCAGCTCCCAGTTTACTTTGTCAGTCATGTACTGAAAAATGTTGAGTTGAGGTATCCCTTAGTGGAGAAGTTCGGTCTTGCACTCTTCATAGCCGTAAAAAAATTGAAGCCCTACTTTTTGGCACATGCAGTCGTCGTGTATACAGATCAACCTATCAAGCGGCCACTGACCACCATGGAGTCGTCAGGCCGGATGATCAAATGGGCCATAGAAATTCAGAGCCTCGAAGTCACATTCGAGCCTAGAAAAGCAGTGAAGGGGCAAGCCTTTGCTGATTTGATTGTTGAGATGACTCGCCCCCTTGATTCTCAAGTCCCAGACCAAGTTTGGAAGGTATATGTGTACGGAAGCTCTACTTCAAATGGTTGTGGAGCAGGCGTCATATGTCAGTCGCCAGAAGG